ACAAAACAGGTTTCTTTATGACATTTTCATGCATGTAAGTCATGTACTTTGGTCAGTCCCCATTATCCTCTCTCACTCCCGTTCCCTCACACTGAAGTATTTAGTCTATCCATGTACCAATACCATCTGCCCTTCTTATTGGAGTTTTGATAGCTACGTGCTAAGTCTTACTTTTATATTCTTTAAGAATTTCTTGAAGAATAGGCCTCTGCATAATTGCATTGACTCCCTAGATTAATTATAGAGATATTTCTGTCTGTTATTTCTAGCTGGGTATAATGACACATGCCTATAACCGCAGCACTCAGGAGACAGAAGCAGGAAAATCATGACTTCAAGGCCAGCCTGAGATAGGAAAGAAAAACTGTTGCAGAAGATCAAGGGCAGGGAGAGCAGCTCAGTGGCAGAGTGTTTGCCGACCTTGAAGGCTTTTGTTTGCACCCCAGCACCTTTAGCCTCCATACGCAGACACGCAGATGCACGCACACATCATTCCTCTCGTTTGATCTGCTTCATGATCCTTCAGTGATCTTTATAAAGGTCAGGCATGTGTTCTGTTAGATTTGGCTCTTAGTGCCTTGTTCTTTCGTATCATTCTGAATAGATCTGTTGCTACAGTTTCTTCCCTGAGGAAGATTTAAACTATGTCCACCTCCTCTAAGCTCCCAACTACAAGCTAAGGTACGGTTTCCCCTCCACTCGGTGGAACCAATGAGTTTCTTAGACTTATTTACAGAGCTATGAGCAAGGGGTTATGGGCAGGAGTGTGGGTGGTTTCTAAGCAGCCACACCAGGTCTGCATATATCATGAAAGATGATTCCCGTCAGCTTTGAAGCTGGAGACCCCTCCCCTCATCTTTCCTTGCCCCTTCCCAAGGCCATGTGAGGTTAGAGTAGGGTTGTGCATAACTGGCTGAGAAGTGAGGCTAGATGCTTGGCTGAGGGTTCCATGACCTGCTCTGCCCTTCCCCTTATGAGGGAAAGTCAACCTTCCACATGATGGAGGAGGGTCATCTGTCTATGTGTTACTTTCATTGGTTAATAAAGAAACTGCCTTGGCCCTTTGATAGGACAGAAAATTAGGTAGGCAGAGTAGACAGAAAAGAATGCTGGGAGGAAGAAGGCAGTGAGGCAGTCACCATGATTTTCCTCTCTGAGACAGACGTAGGTTAGGATCTTTCCTGGTAAACCACCACCTTGTGGTGCTACACAGATTACTAAATATGGGTTAAAGCAAGATGTGAGAATTAGCCAATAAGAGGCTGAAACTAATGGGCCAGGCAGTGTTTAAATGAATACAGTTTGCGTCTTGTTATTTCTGGGTGTAAAACTAGCCATGCGGGAGCCAGGCGGGAATGCAGCCTGCCGCTCCTTCTACATCCACAACCCAACTGTGATGAACCTTTGCAAGCAGGCACAGCTGATCTGATGAAGATGACAGTTTGTCTCAGAGAATACTGACATACAACAGGATCTTTAAAAACACAGATCAAAAACAAAACAACAAAAACGTCCTCTTTGTTGCCACTGTTTTTAAGTGCTAATGATTTTGTATGTTGATTCTGGCATCCAGCAACATTATAAAGGCTTACACTCTGTACTGTATTTTAAATATTCTTTTGAATATGTACATCCTCCATCACATTCTTGTGATTTTCCCGCTGCCTATCTGGATATATTTTACTTCTTCCCATCGTCTACTGCCTTGGTCCTTACACAGTACTGAGCAAAAATGCAGCAAACATGACACTGTGCTTGATTTTCAAAGGAAGGGTAGCTTGTGATAATTTCTGAAGGTTTCTATAAATTCCCTTCTTCAAGAAAAGCATTCCTGAAGCGTGTGGTGACAATTGTCTGAAATCCTAGCACTCCGGGAGGCAGAGGCAGATGGATCCCTGTGAAACCAGTCTGGTCTACATAGAAAGTTCCAGACTGGCCAGGCCAATGTGAGAGCCTGTCTTAAAAAACAAACACACAGAGAAGCATTCTTAACTGTCCATGAACTTTGCATGGATGACGAATGGCGGCATATGTTCAGATAACCACCAGGTCTTTAATGTGGTGAATTACACTAACTGCTTCTCTCACGCTATCCTAACTTGTATTCGTCAGTTTGGCTATGGTGCTTTATTTTGCCAGGTTGAAATTGCTAAAATGCCATCCAGGGGTTTTGCATCTATATTGAGTGAGATTGGACTGGATAGTTTCTTCCTCGTGCTCTTAAAATCAGATTTAGGTGTCGTGCTACACTAGCTCCACGAAATGACCTGGAAAAGAAGCCCCTATCCTACACTGTGGGATAGCTTGTATGAGGCTGGACTTTCTCACCTGTCGAGTGTTGGACCAAAAGCCTTTGCAGAACTGTTTCAGGCTGGATTTTCCCTCCTGGAAAGTATCGACGGGTGTAAGTTCTTGCATGATTATGACTTTGTCCTGACTTTCTTGTTCAGTTTCTGAATTGATTAGCATGAAAACAACATTCTCTTTGTAATCTGTAGGTTGTGTGTGATTATAGTTTTATGTTAGTCACATAGGTGTCTTCCTTTTTTTCTACATTGTCTTCCACAAGGTTTGTACATTTACGTGTCTTAGATAAACTAACTTGGGCAGGTGTTTTTTCAGCTGTGTGTTCGTTTCTAGATTTATTATTTTTGCCTTTATTACTTTCTTCTATTTGCCTTTATTTCACTGTTCTTTTTCTAACCTTTAAGCTGCTTACATCTCAAAAGGTTTCTTTTACAATTCTCATTAATTACTTGTTCAACTTTTGCTTCCGAAGCTTTAATACCTAGTATTAAATATCTAATACATAGCCTTGCAGCATTACTCTATCTCCTTACAGCCTTGTTTCTTGACCACAACTCTCTTAGCCTATCGGTTTTTCTAGTTATCTTTACCTATTTAATTTTAATTGTTTTACTTTATTATCATTTGAGATAAGGTTTTATTCTATACCCAAGCTGGCCTCAAATTCTTGATCTTCCACCTCTTCCTCCCAAGTGCTGGGATTATAACCCTGTCTGTACCATCAGGTCAGTTACCTTCTGAAATTAAACCTTGTCTTAGTTGCATTATGGACACAGACTCTCGTCGGTGTGTTCCAAATTTTCTAAATGTTTCTAGACCTGCTTTATGGCTCACGTGTGTCATCTTTAGTGAGTTTGGGAGTGGGCTTTCAAAAACACTATTATTTCTTCTTCATTCTTTTATTTTGCTTCTGGGGGGCCCATTTTTACTGGTCTTCTAGTAAGCAGATGTTATCTTTTCCTTCTGCCTTTCAGGCAGGGTTGCAGAAAGCAAAGTCCAGACTCAGGTTTAGCCTTGAGGCCAGAGGGTGACCTCTGCCCTCTGCCCTCTGCCCTCTGCCCTCTGCCCTCTGCCCTCTGGCCTTCATCCTGTCTTCATGCTGCTCTACCTCTTAGTCTCTTGTCAATTCATAGATCTTTCCAGAATATATTTTAAACATTTTGCCTTGTGTGGGTAGTGGAGGAAGCCCTGAGTGTGTGGGGTCCTGAATGAATGTGTGTTGTTGTTACAGGATCAGCTATAGATAGGGCTCCAGCCTCAGACCTGAGGGAAATGGGAAGCCTTCTCTTCTGTTTGTGTGGATGTTGACAGTGTCTGCAGGAGACGTCCATCATAACTTTCTCCCCCGAGATGTTCAGGACTCGAAGACCGACTGCCCCCCTCCAGAGGGTTCTTCTATGAAGACTGAACCTGTCTGTCTTATCCAGCTGTGGACCATAGACTCTGCCTTCTTGTTTACTTGTGTGTCATAACCCCGCCTCTTTGTTCAGCTGTGTGAAATAGCCCTGCCTCCATGTTCAACTGTATATAATAGACAGGCTGAGCTTCCTGGGTACTGCAGTTTCTCCCACTGAGAGTTCAGATCACTCAGTCTCAGAATTCTCTCTGTGTCTGTCTTTTCTTCATTCCCTTGCCACCCCAGGAAGGTCTGTTCCTATAACCATGCAGCAACCTTGTATTTTTCTTTTTAGTGGGAGAGATGGTCTGGACCCCGAGACAAGCATATTCCTAGAAAAATAAATCTGTCTTTATTGCTCAGTGGGTGCTTATTGATTGCCTGGTATGCACTAAGGAAGAGCTATGACGGCTACCTCTACGAGGTCAACCTATGGACCTGAGGAAGAAGAGTCCTTGATTGGGGGAGGGCAGTAGAAGCCACTGAGAGAGGATCATCAAACTGGGGACTAATGCTGATCTCTTCAGGCCTGGAGAGCAAGCAGGCATAATGGTTGCCAGAAACTATGAAGAGTATGTGAGAGATGGGAAAAGAGGAAGGAGGGCTAACGGGGACGGGCGTATAACTGAGAGAAGAAGGAACTTGTGGGGCTCTAAGGTACAAGAGGATGACTACGGTTGACATCAATTAATTGCACATATAAAATTACCCATGGACATTATGAATGTTCCTAAGTCAAAGAATCTAAACATCTCAGTGGTAGGCCGGTTTTCTTGATTTAATTGGTACACTTTACATTACATGTATTGAAACGGCATGCTATGTCACCTAAAAATTTACACTCTCGTGAGTCAGTTAAAAATGGAGTCTCTCTTTCCAAAACCAGCTTTCAGAGTCTTGGAGGTCTGGGGACAATTTTCAGCATCTCTAAGCTGGGAGAGCTGATCTGAGTCACTCCCATCTCAGTCTCGGCTGAATGTAATTACAGAAAGAGCAGGGCATACAGTGATGGCATGGAAATGCGGGTTGTCATTTGACCCAGGAAATACCAAAGCCAGAAACAGCAAAGTTGTCTTTCGAAAGTTTCAGTCCCCACCCAACCCGGCCCTCCAAACTGCCAGACAGGAGGGTGTACGATTTTCTCCTCCTGATTCCAGAGAAAGCCTTCTCTTCCAGGATTTCCCGAAAAGTACCTCTTCTCCTTCATGACCAAAGTTCTTTGGTAATTTTAGAGTTTAGGAAATTAAAGGCAGGAAGGAAAAGTCTTTCAGACAACTTCTGCTTTTCTTCTCTGCAGCAGACTTCTCTGAGCAAGAAGCAAGCCTGCTGACTTCTTGTAAAGAGGAAAATACAAGGAATATGGAAATGAATGCTGGAAAGGCTATCACATTGCAGAAGGGCCAGCTGAGCATGCAGAACAGATGCCCAGGAGAGAACACTGGAGCGAAAGGGAACTCTCTGGATGTGCTCCTCGGGAAGTCAGAGTTCTCACCGAAGGCAGTCAATTACTGACTGCAAAGATGGGGAGAAAGCTCCTTTGCTTTGCTTTCAGAGGGATGGAGAGATTTACTGCAACCAGAGGGAGGTCACATATAGGGCAAATGAAGAGGATGTGACACATGGCTGTTGTGGCCGTTCTGAAGAGAACTCTAGACAGAAACGCTCAGGCAGGATGGACGTGCCACGGGAGTAGCAGATTGAGACTCTCCCCTAGGTTGCTGAGAAAGATTCCTAAATGGTATGGTAGCACCACTAGCCGGGATAGGAGATTCTGGACCGGACTGAAAGGGGAGAGCCAAGGATGGGCTAGAATCTGACATCACTGTGGGCTTTGGTGGGAGAGTGAAAGCCACCCCGCTCAAGCATATAGGTGCTCAGCTGATAAATGTGGGCGGAAGCTTCAAGAAGGAAATGGTGGTCAAGAACGTCTCGTGAGATGTAGGTCCCAAAGGAGTTCAGCATGCTTGGCAGCAAGAGGGACCTTGGTGACATGAGCGGAGGAGGGACAGGCTTCCAAAGGAAGCAGACGCTTCAGTTATGCGGCTCCAAGTAGTTGGGTCTGGTGATATCGCCTTCATGGGATAAGCAGAGAGCTCGAAGAGTACTCTTGGCTTAGCTGGAAAAAAAAGAATGGTCCAAGGTTCATCTTTACAGATCTTACAGCGTATCAAATCCTTCTCAGATTTGCCAAGCTTAAAGATAAAATACAAGAGAAATAAACCTCACATGAAAGATAGCTGATATACTTTAATGAATGAGCTCCAGATGTTCGATTAGAATGAGATACGCCTTTATAGAAATTAAGCATAATTAAAGTTTGGGGTGTCCTGTATGAGCCGTTTACATGTGTTTTGGGGTCCACTATTTGAGGTCAGTAACTCATATACGGGACACAGGTAAGTTAAGGAACACAACTGGGAGTAAGGGGGAGTTCACTGAGGATGGGATTTGGGAAGATGCCCACAATATTTTTTAAAAAATTTTGTCACTTACTGATCAGGAACCGGATCTTATTTCACACACACAAAAATCTTTTGTAAATATAGCTGAAAGAAAGTTCAAGCTTATATTAAAAACCATGGTCTATTAATATTCAAAACAACCATTTTCCGAGATGTAAATTGAAGAGTACTGTAAGATACCAGGAAAGACTTTAGCCACCATCACTTTGGTTTTCTTGATACATTGACTTTTTTTTCCCCATCATGTAACAGCAATGAGTTCAGGTACTATCTAGAAATAGTTTAAGAATAGTTTAACAAGCATGCCCATTCCATTTCTTAACCATCAAGGATGTTATTTGGGCGAATAAGAAACAGACACTGAGTAAACAGAGACAGCTTTGTCAATCAGTAAGAATATGTTGTTCCGTCTATGGCCACACCACCCTGAACGCACCCGATCTCCTCTGATCTCGGAAGAATATGCTGTTCCACGGCTTGTAATGGGAGGCTACCATTGCCAACAAGTCCTGAAAGTACATGGAGAGATGTTCATTCTTTTTCTTGCTTTCTCTCACCCTGTTTTCCAAGACAGGGTTTCTCTGTGTATCCCTGGCTGTTCTGGAACTCACCCTTAGATCAGGTTGGCCTTGAACTCTCAGATTCACCCTACCTCTGCCTCCCAGTGCTGGCATTAATGACATGCATCACCACCACCCGGCATGATGTTCATTCTTAAACAAAACATCAAAGTAGCACAAAACACAAGTCTACCAAACTGCGTAAGGGATAAGAATGCCTCCTTTGTTTGAAATAGTGGAAGAAGACTGATAAGATGAGAACAAAACAAAACAACAACAACAAATAAAATAAAACTAAGCTCCATCTAGACCAGAAGTGGGACAATTGGTGGGGAAAGGCTCCTGACTATGGAACCGGAAGGTGGTAGGGTCAGAAGGTGAGACCAAACTTGAGCGGTGAAGCAGATGGGAGCTGGGTGTGCCCCAACTTCACAAGTACAGGTACAGGAAGTCGGGGGACAGTCAACAGATATTTAATTACTCCCTGCTCTGCCTCAGGGGTAGTATAAGTCAGGCACCCACCAGAGAATGAGGAAAATACTAGAAACGTGAACCAATCCTGAGTAAGTTGTCAAACCCAGAAGGGGCGGTGGCAGAGGAAGGGCGGCTTGTCTAGGGCTTCCTGAATGACGAAAGGAAGGAAGCTTGAGACTATTTCTCTCTCAAGGTAGGAGGTAATGAGACCAACCCGAGAGAAACAGGAAAAGTCAAGCTGGAGAAAGAAAGGCTGGAAAATAAACAGTAACAGCGCGTTCTACAGACCAGGCTCGTAAGCCACATCTGCCGGTTCACGGGAACCACATGGACTCAAGGCGCCCCTGGGAGATGTCTCTGTTTCCAGTGTATTGGCTTGGATATTGAGGAGAGGGTCTTTTCTCTGGTTTTAATTGCACTTCTCCACAGTGGAGTAAAATCCTTTGAACAGTGACAGGAAAGTTTTGATCTTAAAAAAAAAAATTCGCCGGGGAATCAGATGAAAAGCCGCAATGAAGCGAAAATTCCTAGTAGTTTAGGGCGTCTCTGTCGGGCCTTAGTTGAGGCTACCTGGTAGAATCCCACACCGTGGTACCTGAATGAAATGGTTGCCTGTGCAGAGAACTGGTTTCCTTGGCCCTAGCAGAGCCTATGCCCATCACGCTGTATTGTTGTAAAGAAACCGATGTGTCCCGGCCTATCCCAGAGAGAGTTTGTATATCTCTATGGCCCCGAGACTGCATGAATGTGCTCGTCGTGCGCACGGAGAAATTAACAGACAATTGGTCTACTTTCAACGAAATAACCGGCTGCAGAAAAACAAGATAAAAGGCAGTAGACACCCCTAATAGTCACTGTGTCAGCCGTTTTTTAAAGTGTACTTTTAAATAGGAGGTCTTATAACTGAGCCTGGAGGGGAAATCAGCAGACACAGGCTCTGCAGTGATCAGATCTACGTGCACTCGTGTTTGGGCATAGCGTTTCCACACCACCATGCAACGGACCGTGTTGCACTCTTTTTGGCAGCTGGGCTCTGAAACCCCGGCGCAGTGCCGCAAGGTTGCCGTAGGGACCAGAAGGAACTTTTCAAAAGCCTCTCCGGAGGCCCGCGCCAGGGGCG